AGGAAGGAAGGAAGGAAGGAAGGAAGGAAGGAAGGAAGGAAGGAAGGAAGGAAGGAAGAAAGAAAGAAAAGAAGAAAGGTGTGAAAGCACACTTTACAAACAGAGAAAAGCTGCAGTCATTCCAGAAGGACTGGTCTCTGTCTTTTACACACCAACAGAGGGCAGAGACACTACGCACATAACAGTTCCCTAGTCTAAAGTGACATTTGAGTTGCAGAGGCTTCTGAGTGACAGGGAGAGTAGAATCAGCTCACTCTACCTAAAGCCACCTCTACCAGTCACTCACCTCACAGATATTTACTGGGCAACTACCAGTCATTAGGAAGTTGTTTTGTTTTGTCTTGTTTTTAATTTTGTAATGTAAGTGTTCCTCAAAGTGTGGTCCACATATTAGTACTAGAGTTCATACTGCTTATTACTGGTCTGCCATGAGGTAAGTACAAAATGAGGAGCAAGAATGCTCAGCACTCTAACAGTGCCTTTGTCTTACTGAACATGGTATAGAGCAGCTTGTCATCATTAGACCACTATGGCAGGCTACCTGGGGCACAGCTATGACCCTGTCATGTACAGGAGACTACACACCAGTCCCTGGCGGACTGCAAAAACTACAAAGATGTGGCTATTCACATTAAGGGGGTTGTTCTAAGCCAGGGTCAACACAGCAGAAGGCCAGATGATGAACATTTTAGGCTCTAACTTACACAGATCTTTTAAAATACAATAAACCATGCTTAGCTAGAAGGCAAGACAAAAATAGATGAAAGTCTAGACTTGGCCCACAGGCCAGCCTGCAACTCCCCTTTTTAGGAAACAAAGAATGCCGCCATCATAAACAGCAAACAAGGCAAAATCATCACTGGGGCCTTCTGCTTTTTCTCATTTCTATCTCCATCACTATCAATATTCCAAACACTGGCAGCATCTCCTGAACTCTTGTTAAGTGCAAGATCTAAGTCAGAGGCTGGCAGGAGGTAACAATCCTGCTGAGGAGAGAGGGCAGAGTCCTAATAGTTCAGTACAGGATGTCATGCATCACGTAAGAACTTCATCTTCTATAAATGACCAGAAGGTAGCATGATCTCCCTCCCCTGTGCTGACAGCAGGAAACACATAATGGAGGATGTAAGGGGCCTGTGTGGCTGGGGATCACAGCAGTGCTTTATGGTGTGTGTTGGCCTGGGCTGGGCTTACTGCTCCCTTTAGGAAGATGTAATCATGACACAGAATGTCCTTCCAGTCCAACGGTAGACTGTACTGTCAGAGTGAGCTATACCTGGGCCACTGTGACTCCTCCTGAATACCTTACAAAAGTCTTCAGGATCTGTGGTGGTGGTACAAACACAGCTTCATAAACTCAGGTTCTGTGGAATTATCCACTTCTTGACCTTGTTTTGTAACCTGCTCAGTATTTGAAGAAGCTATAATCTTTAACCAATAGCTTTCATTCTTCTTATATCCTCCTTGAGACAGAGAACACCCCCAAAAGTTTCCACTCATAAGAACAATGGGAAGGGTTCAGATAATGAACCCTGCAAACCTCAGAGCCAGGTCAGCTGGAAAACAAAACGCAAGGTACCTCTGAACTAGCAGACAAGAGTCTCCGGTTAGTCTTATCATGATTCTCATGATACACAGCTGTTTTTCTGGAAAGCGTGGTTCTGAGTAGTTCAGATGTTTTAAACAAATACATGCCATCAGACTGTGTGATGTCCATTTTTGCTTCAGTCACCAAAAATACCAGAGATTTAAGGAGACCAAGAGGAAGAGATGGATGACAAAAGATGGCTACTTTTGTCAATGCTACATCAAATACTGTTGCACATATTTCTCGTTTGTAAGCTTTCACTCTGTAGACTCAGTGAGCCAGAGGTGAGCATCCATGCCCCATTTGACATCTTCTTCAGTCAGGAACCAATGGCTGAGCATTTGTAGCAGGCTCTGATTAATACACTGACCAGAAAGACAGACGACAGTGGTCCCTACCTCCAACGCACTACATTCTTACAGGAAAAAGAGTGGAGAGATGGGATTCCTAGGGTAGTTATCCCTCTCTAGCTTGAGAAAACATGTAGCAGGTATCACTATCAGCTCGAAAAAGTAAAATTCCATCAGGGTAGATGAAGGCAGCTACCTTCAGTGACAGCATTATCATTTACAGGCAAAATAGTCACTGTAGGAAAGTACAAAGCAGTCAGCTGGGGATACTTCTGGCTTAATGAGCAAAGTATTTTCAACAGTTTGAAATAAGAGCCCTTTGGTATGGTAGATAGATGTGATATCTCTACTCTATGAGAGCAAAAGCTACCACATAATACTATCTGCACTCTTAAAGACAAACAGCAATCAAGCTGCACCTCAACAGGTATGTTTTCCTTTACCAGACAAATGAGATAGTGACAATAATACCACAGAACATGAGCACCTGGATTCCTCAAATCAACTTCTTAATGACAGCTGTTAGCAACCCCAACAGAACAGTAGATAGAAACAATCCAATCTCTCATGACAATTGTGCATACTCTAACAACAAAGAAGAGTCATCACACCATGGGCTGAGATACTTGAGAAAACACAATGGTTGCTGTGTGTGTGTGTGTGTGTGTGTGTGTGTGTTGCATCTGACTATGAACAATACACAGGGAACCTACTAAGAAGGGAGATTAAGAAGGGAGATACGGCAATGCTGGAGGCAGCTGGAACACTTCACAGGACAGATGACATTTGAGTTGAACTGGAGGAATGAATATGATTTTGTTCACCAGAAGGACAGGGAAGACTATGTAAAAGGTTCTATGGGTGGAGAATTCAGCAAGGATTAAATACATAAAAAAGCAAAGCTCCTTTAGGACAAAGTCACAGATAGGCCTGGCAGAGCCGATGTACTGGGGACTGATTTAGAAACAACAGCTATAATACAGGTACTATAGCCTGCAATCTACCATATTTAGCCTTTGTGAGATCTGGGGATAAGGGAGGCATAAAATTACATATATATTTGTCTTGTGTCTAAAGATAAGGAAAGAACTAGAAAAAAGTCAGGGTGGTGACAAATGCCAGCCACACCATGTGGGAGACTGAAACCGTATGATCAGAGTTCAAAGTCTGCCTAAGAAGTACAGAGATTGTCTTAAGAAGTCAAAAAGCAGAGGCCTGGGCTACACTGTGACAGGTCACATTCCCCCAAGGTCTTTTGCTAAGGGTAATCGCAGAGGACAGCTTTTTGGCAGAGATGATGCTGTACATTCCCCATCTAACTGACATCAGCACGGACTTCAGAGCCAATCTCTGCCTACAAGTAAGACTGAGGCCACATGGGCTGAGGCCTGTTCTTGTCTCTACCTGCAACAGCACGGCACACACATCTGCCTCTCCTCCCTGGGGCCTGTGAGAGCCAGACATTAGTCACCCTACCATACTGACTGCTAATCATATATCACCAGAGTAAGACCTGCTCACCTGGGTCCCCCCTGGGCAAACTGGCAGCCACCATGCCAAAATGGGTATTGGAGTGGAGGGAGGGGTGGCTTCAGTGCACATGGCATCTTGAATAATTATGTCATACTGTCAGCAACCCAGGGGAGCAATAGTCACAGTGAAAACCCTTTTCCAGAAAAACTCTTTTAGAGATGGAAGTATGGGGACAGAGACCAAGGCCAAAAAGCTCCAAGTGTCCTACCTCTAGGGTTATTAAGAAATGGAGTGAGAATCTGGGTAGGTGGCACACATTTGTAACCTCTACATTCTGAATGCTGAAGCACCAAAACTATGGGTTCAAGGACAGTGTGAAGTCTAGCATGGACTATAATAGCCAGACTGTCTCCCTACTACTCCCAACAAAAAAGCAAAAGAAATTAGGTAAGTCCTCAATACCAGTTCAGCTGCCATGAGACTGTGGGGGTCACATAAGTTTAAAACAAGCTGAACTTCAGTGTCATCAGGAAATGAAAGAGAAATCCTCCCTCATGGGCTCCTGAGGGCTAAGAGGGCAACCAGCATCACCTGGTACACAGTGTGTCCTCAGCTCCTAAGACAGCTTTTGACACAGCAGCTCAAAGTCGGAGCTTTAGGAGCTCTGGCTGCCACTCCTGTTGCCCCTGTTTTAACAGAGGAAGGAAGAGCAAGGGCGGCAATACTCACAGTCTCTTCTTATCCACCACACGCTTAACTCGGATGGCTCTTTGTTCAGAGTAAAGCTTACACACTCCTGTTGAAGCAGAAAATACCAGAACACAGACCATTTAAAGTGGCTTCTCACGCAAAGGTATCATTAAAACTAATGAGACACTATGGTCTTCAGCTAGCAAAGCTCTATTCTAAATTGCCTCTCTTACGAAATACCACATTTGACCTTTAGAAGAAAATGAAATACTTTTTAAGTAATCTTCAACGAAATCCAAAACCGCAGTCCTGTGCTCCTTCACTTGCTGGGAATGTATCTCCTTGTGGGCTGTAAGAGAAAACGACAACACTCAGGTCTGTGCTCAAGGACCTTACAGAACAGTCAGCCTCCTCGGAACACCTCATTGAGAGCATGTTCAAAAGCACAGCTATAAAACAGCCTCGTGTCAAGTGAGACTAAATTTTTAAGAGTAAGATTTATTAGGGTTCACCAGGTGAGAGATTAAACCCATAGAAACTGCAGCCAGATAATTTATAGCTTATTACAGCACCAGGGGAGCTGAGTTGATCCAGTTCCTTCCGGAATGCTGACCTGGCTGTATTAACAGCATCCAGTGCTGAGGTTCACCTTCAAGTGACATGCTTAAATCACACATGCTGGACCACAGACACCCACTGCCTGAGTTCTTTTCAGCTGACAGTGGCTGCCTTCTTTCCTTAGAAACTGAGTGGCACTATCCATACTATGCTGCTCTCTAAGAACCTTTCACACTGATAAGCCACAAGGACGAGCTACCACATAGAAGCCTGTGGCAGCTTCTATGTTAAGATACTGCTTTTGGTGGAGAGGCTGGGTGCAGGCATGATGCTAGGACTTGACAGAACTGCCTCAGCCAACTGACATTCAGAGGCAATGAGTAGTCTAAACTCACATAAATGCCTAATGCCCTTAGGGGTATGAGGCATAGGTTATGTTTTTTTCTAGAGAGCTACATAAGCTGGAGCTCACATAATGATTTGTGTACCATGCAATGCTGCACACAATCTTTAAATTTTGTGTGTTGCATATTTTTCCGGCAAGCTTTCAGCAGACTCTCCCAGTGGTCAAGCAGTGTTTTCTCAGCAGCTTCTCCACCAGAAGTCTCTGTCATGAGCCCAACAGCACCTGGCAACTTTGATCTCTGTAGTATTAATGTGTGTGCTTAAGAAGCAAGGGATGAAACTCAACAAAAGGGAGCTAAAACTAGACATCTAGTGCCAGGCACCTTTCTAAGCATGCTGTAAGAATTTAAGTGAACCCTAAGAGATATGCCTAATTACTGTCTGTACTGTTTCAATGAGGAAGTTGAGCCCAGGAAAATGAAATTACTTGTCTAAGGCTACAGAGCATGTGGCAGAGCTGAGGTACATAGCTTTTAAGTCATGGTTGCAGAGCCTCCTCTCAACCATGATGTCTCATACGGGAGTTGACTTTGATTGGACAAGTAGAACTTAGAGAATACTGTTCCATCCTTAGCCATATGCATACATCCTGCCTCTCAGGACATAGCCACACAGGCATGTCTTCACAAATATGTAAATGCTTGCACACACACAATCTGTTTCCTCTGACTTGGCCTCTGGTAGGTTATGGATTCTATTTACAAAGGTCCTATCCATTCCTGCCTTTCATGTATTTTACCTAAGTGACAGTCTTTTCAGGGCTTTAAACAGCTTAGCACACTGACCAAGAAGGAGGATTCTAAAGTTTTAAGTCCTAAATGCCTTTTAGAAAATAAGAAGGAATGGTTAAGTGGCTACACCATGAGTTGTTTGACTGGTTGGCACATTCATGGGATCTGTTGGCGTCTTCAAGAGCACTTCACCTTCTGTTCGGAGTTGCTGAATTGCCTCTGAACAGGTCCTCATGAATATATGGGCATCTTGGTCTATCTGGTCTCGCTCTGTGTCTGTCATCCTCCCATATTCAGACATGATATGACTAAAAAAATAAAAGAAGAAGAAGAAAATGTGAGGGTGGCATCAGTGAGAACATGATGCAGTCTGGGTACAGTGTCAAGAAGAAAGGTTTCCCTGACCAAGTGACACTGAAGCTAAGACTTCTAGGGGTTGGCCAGAGGTGGGAGAATGATCTAGAGAGTGGAGCAGAAGGCCATGGGGTAGTTTTCTACACAGCTTCACAGAGGCAGGCCAATCTTACAGGCTGCAGCACACAGCTTTGCTAGTAACAGAGGCTGCGACTGAGAACTGCATAACCCAGTGGCTGCATTAGAGTTGCAAGCTTCTCACCCTGCATGCTGCTGGGACACAATCCTGTGGGTGCTTGAAACATAAGAGGAACTTCTGTGGGCTGTTCTTTTTTGACACTGGAAAACGGTTTTCAAAACTCACAATAAAAAGCCTCTAGAAATAAATTCCATCTCCCTTGATGCGAAGGTAAAACTTCAGAAGTGACCAGGCTGGTAAGGGCATCCAATTTCAGTAACACGGCCCTGTGTGGCAAGCACAGAGCACCTAGCTCTCCCTCATGAGAGCTGGGCGGGTGTGGCAGCCTAATCAGGAACAGACACTCCTCAGCCTAGTTCAATGCTCTGGACAGCTGAAATCCACACTCCAATGCTGCAAGCTAAAAGGGCACTTATGTACTGTAGACACTCAAACCACCCCACTTCCACTCACCTGTCTATCTAGTCATGAGGACAAAACACAAAGTCCTGACTATCCCATTTCCACCCAGGTCACAGGGTTTCCACTCTGCATAAGCGGCTCTGACCATGTGCCCCATCACCTACTCCGGTCTCCCATGGTACTTAACCAACATTACTTTGTCATGCTGTGCTGATCAGGATATTATTGTGTTTGCACTCCAAAGCTGCTCTCCATTTCTCAAAGCTAGGACCACTTCTGACCCTCACCTCTGCTGTGCTGCTATCTACTTTTGACCCTGATTTGCTTTTCTCCATTGCAGTTATTGTTCCCAGAAATACCAAAAAGTCTGTTTTTCTCCTCTGAAGCCATAAGGGAATAAGGACTTGCTGCCTGTGTCTGCTTTCCCAATAAAAACAGGCAGCACAGAGTGCATGACTAACATCAGACAGGCACTGAGCATATGCCAGGCCTATCCTCAGTGCTGTATATGTACCTGATTCCTTTATTTAACCTTCACATGGCATTCATTCTCATGTGTATAAGCCCTCTTAGGATAAGTACTAGGCTGGGGTTCAAAACTGAGTACGACTCGTTTCTGATCTCCACAAAAAGCACTCAACTATAGGAGTGATCAAGAAGGAAGCAGAGAGTGCAAAGAGCTGCACTGACTGGTGCTGCTCTGGAAGTAAGCAATAGGGCTCAAAGTAGAGTGTGGTCAGTTCCAGGAGGATGGGATGCTGGGCAGGACAGGCAGAGTAGAAGGCATGCCCTGACAGAGGATGGACACAAAGACCTGATACAATTCTCCACCGTGTGAGTGATGGTTTGAGTGAACATGTAACATCTACTCCACAGCTGGACACATGTGAGTGAAGTAGAGAAAGGAGCAGGAAAACTGGTCCTAGGTAAACTAGGCACCTGGCACAGTGAGGGGCAGTACATGGCATGCACTCAGTCTGTTTCCACACTGATGTGTCTGGTACATGGCTGCACCATTCCTCCTAAGACAGCGTTATAGTAAGCACTTATTTAAAATTCAAGCACAGACACTGCATCCTCCATTCCCAGAGTAGGGATAAACAGAGCCGTTTTACTTTGCATGGTTTCTTCATAGCCAACTGCCTCGAGACTGAAGAATCCCGACCCCAGGTATTCCAATCACAGTTGAGGGACCACTGCCATTGTCCAAGAGAATGAGAAAGGCTAGGTACAGGCAGTCCCATGGGGTTGCAAAGGAGATAGATGTGAGAGACATCGACAGGCAATACAGACTGCCTGGGTATGGAGACAAAGGAAAAGCGTAGGACGCCTAGGTCTGGTGTACAGACAGACATCACATCTAGGACAGAAGGCACAGGCTGGAGGGAAGGAACTGATGGTACTGAGTCAAAGGTGCCAGACCAAAGTTAGAGCCTTACATGTGGACAACTGGAACACTTCCAAGAGAGCTCCCCATCCTGATGTTGCCCTGTTATGAGCATGAGCTACACGGTGTGCATGTGAAACAGCAGGCTGAAGCTAGCAAGGCCACAAGTGAAGGTACAGTAACAAAACATTACTATTCTGAAAAGGTCAGACATCTCATAAATAATTCCAAACTATTCTCATGGGATGTTCATATATATAAACATCAAGTTTTATTTCCTTGAATGTAGAGAAATAATTGTGTCACAGATCTCACTATATCTAAGTAGTAAATTCAATTACAGTAGATTATGTGAAGTATGAGTTTGAATTGGTCAATTTACTTCAGGAGAAAGGTGAGGTACAGTGAAAAATACAAGTTTATTTACTGGCTTGGAAATGTAAAGGAATGTGTTTCTCCTTTTAACTTGGTTGACTGGTATATTAAGAAATGTCAAGTTCAAGGTCAAAACATCACTGACCTTCTCCTGAGTATAGTTTTATATAGAAGCAGCCACCAGATGAAGGTGAACAACAGTCAGAAAATAGCAAGTGAGTGCTTTACTGAGCCAGGTGCTGAAGGATGTGGCAACTTAAAGACTATGACCTTGTTTTTGCTGGCAAAGTCAGATTCACGGTAACCATAGAGTGCATACTGGGCAGATAATATGTATTGTCAATACACATTATGAAATTAAATTGTTAGTTCCTATCTACACATAGCTGCTGAGCACAGACCTTGCTTTCAATAATCTATCAAATAGGTGATGGCGGCAGACTTAAGCATATAGATGTGTTACACCTCACAGGACAGCCTAATACTTTCCATGCACTGACACTCACCACTGTTCTAATCTAGCAGGTTACATACATTTACCTACTTAATTAATTCTCAAAACTTCCAGGTAAGTACTATTATATTCCCACCTTACAAATGGGGCAACTGAGGCACAGAGAGGCTATGTAACTTGCCAAGGTTACACAGTCAGCTATTAGCAGAGATGGGGTTTGACAAGGCAGCCTGCTCTGCAGTCTCAGACTTTGTCAAGCCTTAGAATACTTCTTTGTTTTGTTTTTTTGGAACCAGGTCCCATGTCTCAATATCACTAGGTAGCCGGGCATGGCCTTGGAATTCTTAATCTCCTGGTTCCACCTCCCAAGTGCTGGGATTACAGGTGTGTGACACCATGGCCAGCAAGCACTAGAGTTCAGAATGGATTCTTCAGAGGCAGGCATGGCTGAGCGAGGCAAGAGTAACAATGTAAGCAGGAGAGAAGAGCGAGGACTTCAGACTGGTGGGAACATAGGATAAGTGGGAATGCTGTCCTTAGTGGCCTCGGAGCTGGTCAGGAACTCTGTAGCCAACAGAAGGCTGCATGTTATAAAGGAGAAATGAGGTGACGACATGTGACATGGAACAGTGGTGGAAGGTCAAGCCTGGGGCTACTGACCTTGAGCTAAGAACCTTGCTTTATTCACGTCCATGTTCATTTGCTTGCATCATTTGTTTGCTGGCTTGTTAGCATCTCTTCCCCCATTTGGTGCTGGGACTGAGCCCAGGTCCTCATGAATAACAAGAAACTGTTTACCATTGAGCTAGCTATATGCCCAGCCTCTCTCAACTCTGTTTTCTAGCACTTATAAAGGGTCGGAGCATGATAAAATTTTGTAGAGCTTAAATTTCAGAAAGGGGCTGCTGGGTGTGGTGGGTGCACCCCCTGGACTACAGGACTAGGGAAGGGGAAGTAGGAAGACTGGGAGCTCAAGGCTAGCCTGAGCTGCATAGAAAGACTACCATTTCAATAAGACAGACATAAAGAAGGGAGGATTAATGGCAGGGTTTAGGTGATAGCAGGAGGTTCAAAAAGGCAGAACCAGATGTAGTCTGCCTGAAACAGAACAGCTGTTGCAGGCAGAACTTAAACAGTCCCTGAAATCTGGGCCTGTGTGCTCAAGTAAAAAACAGAACACAAACAGAGCACAGGAAGCACTGGAACTGAGGGCAAGCAACCTCAGCAGAAAAGAAGCAGCGTCCTGAAGACAAGCTGCCCTACCACCAACACAGTGCTCCGATGGGCTGACCAGGAAAGAGGCTCTCCACTCTGTGGTTAAGATCCTGAAGAACACAGGGAGGTCTTAAAGAATGATAGATGGTCTCTGAAGTGCTACAACTCAGAGAAAGGACCCATTCAGCAGCCTCATTCAGATTTACTTTTGTACATAGGTCTAAAACTGAGCCTTTGGCCTCTCTCTTCAAACATGTTCTCCAGCAGTTTGCTCCAGACTGTCCTGATAGTGATTCCACTCCTCCTCTTGCTCAGGCCCCAAACCCTGACATCACCCCTAGCTCTGTTTTGCCTCTCTCAGTTTGCATTTTATATAGATCTATCTACATATCCTGTTGGTTCTACTTTCAGAAAATTCCCCACAGAATCTATCTATCTATCAGAATCTCCCATCCAGTCTGTACCTAAAGCTTACTCCAGGGTCTGTTCCTTCTGCCCAGCCTTCCTCATCTGCTTTGGCACACCAGCCACATGGATGTTCTTACAGATTTGGATACTGTCAAGCTCTCTTGCACAGGCCTTCCAAAGGCTTCTAAGAGCAAAGGCTATTAGATAAATAAGGCCATTCTCGAGGAACTCTCTGGGCTCATCTCATCCAACCCAGCCTTGGCTCAGGCTCATTAGCCTTTTTCTGCTCCTCTACCTTCCATGCGTGTTCATATGGACCTTACAATCCCTGGTTCTCCTTCTGGAATGTTCTTTCCCAGGTGTCTGAATAAGTGACTCCTTACTTCCAGGTGATGAGAGGACAAGCTGTGTTACTTGTCCCCTACTCTGCAGTCTAAGTGGCTTTTCTGGGAGTTAGTGAGGTTTCCAAGTCAGAAAGATACTAGCTTTTGAAAGAATATGCAACCTGCCACCA